GAGAGAGAGAGGAGAGAGAGGAGAGAGAGAGAGGAGAGAGAGAGGAGAGAGAGAGAGAGGAGAGAGAGAGAGAGGAGAGAGAGAGAGGAGAGAGAGAGGGAGGGGAGAGAGAGAGAGAGAGAGAGGAGAGAGAGAGAGAAAGAGAGAAAGAGAGGGGCTTTCCTCTGCTTACCATGTTACTACAGGTTTCTTGTTTGAGGACCCCTTCCTGTCCCAAACCTCATCCCTCAACTATTTATGGAGGGGCTACTATATGTCAGATACTATAAGAGGCCTGGGGAAACATTTCCCTTTCCAGGATGCCCCTCGGAGCTGGCAAAACAGGTGAGGAGGAGGGCACTGGCAAAGCTGGCCAAGGAGGCAGTGCCAGGTTGGAGAGTGTGCCAGTTTACAGCTGAACCCTGGCCCAGCCCCACCACTGGACAGCCAGGGCTCACTGGGACTCGCTGGGACTCACACCCCATGGCTGACACCTGTTCCACCCCTGACAGGCTGTTTGACCTGGAGCCTGACCTGCTGCCCCTCTTCCAGTACAACTGCCGCCAGTTCTCCAGCACAGAGGATTGTCTCTCCTCCCCCGAGTTCCTGGACCACATCAGGAAGGTGGGGGGGGGGGGGCCGCTGGGACCTTTGGGACCTCTGGGATCCAGCAGAGCACCTTCCTGGGAGAGAATGAAGGACATGGGATGGAAAAAATTATTTTCTGCCCCAGGCCTAGTTTTACTCCCCTCCCTCTGCTCCCCCATGTAGGCGCATCTGCTTCTTTCCCTCTTTTTCCTGGGCTGGCCCCAGTATGGGACTCCAGAGTCAGCCTCCTCCCCCATGCTGTGCACAGTCAACTGGTTCCAGCCTCTGTCATTGTCCCCTGGCTCCTGTAGGTTGTATTGGTACTGATTCTGGCCAGTGAAGACCATCTCTGCCCATGGAAACCAGGCTGGGGTTTTCTAAGAGGCTTGTGACTCTCACAGGGCCTGTTTCCCCTTGTCCCAGGCAGATAACACCGTCCAGCAGGTGTGCTTAGGGCTTTGGGACCCTGAGAAAAGAGGAGCTTCCTTCATGGGTGTAACATTAGTAGTTTGGCCACTACATGTTGAGTGCCTACTGTATGAGGATGCAGGCTGCATTTCACCCGTGATCTTGGAAAACTACAAGTCCTTCTGGCATCTCCTGTCTCTGGTTAGGACCCTCAGGTTCTGGGCTGTGGGAGTGAGTGGATGGGGTTGGTCTGACCTCTCTGTTTCACTGCTTCCTTGGCCTTGGCAGGTGATGTTCGTGATTGATGCTGCAGTGACCAATGTGGAGGACCTGTCCTCACTGGAGGAGTACCTTGCTGGCTTGGGCAGGAAGCACCGGGCAGTGGGTGTGAAGCTCAGCTCCTTCTCGGTGGGTAAAGGGGCTCTTCCTCTCTCCAGGGCTCCTGTCCTGGGGCCACCACTCTCTTCCAGTCTCCCTTATCCCCCTGTTCTCTCTCCCCATTCCCATACCCTCAGATGACCAGCGCTAGGGGCCTGCCCCTGTTACTTACCTGCTATGCGACCCTGGCACTGGCTTGACCTCTCTGAGCCTCCAAGTTCTCCTCTCTGATGTGGCTTCTTTTAGAACCATAAAAGTTAAGAAGCCTTTGGGATTAGCTGGTCTGCTCAGTTTTCTGTTGCTGTGTATCAAACCACCCTAAAATGTACTGGCTTAAAAGAGCAATTTCTCATTTCTCATGGCTGGGTTCAGCTGGATGGTTCTTCTGTTCCACATGGTGTAGCTGGAGTTACTTACGTGTTGTGCTCAGCTAGGACCTCAGCTGGAGCTGGAATGTTCAAGATGGCCTGTCAGCCTCTGAGATCTCTCTACCTGTGGTCTCTTATCATTCAATAGTCTGGCCAAGCTTCTTTACAGAATGGCTGAGTTCCAAGAGGATAAGTCCTAATGTGCAAGTGCTTATAAAGTCTCTGCTTGCATCACTCTTGGCAATGTTCCATTGGCCAAAACCAGTCACCTGGATGAGCCAGATCAATATGGGAGGACCCTACACAGGGGCATGAATCCTTGAGGTGTGGTCATTACAGGCCACTGACGTGACAGACTACTATATACTCCAGTCACCTTGAGGAAGGTGCTGTGTAGTCTTGTTCTCCTGCATCCCCAGCACTGGCACAGTGCCAGCTGTTTAGTGGATATTCAGTAAATATTTGTGGAATAAAGAAACTTTATTTCATTATGATTAACAATAACAAATGAGAGCCATTATTATCATTGAAGTCTTACTATATACAGACATTGTGCTAAGAGCTTTTTATGGTTATCCCATTTAATTATCCCAACAAGCCCATGAGTTGGAATTGTTACTTTCCGTTTTACTGATGAAGCAACTGAGGCTCAGAGAGGTTACATAACTTGCTCAAGGTCACTCAGCTCACAAATGGAGTTAGAATTGAACTAGGGTCTATCTGACTCCAGAGCCTAGCAACCCCATGACTGCTACCTTGCAGATGAGGAAACCAAGTCCTGGGTGCAATGACTTGGCTTGGTTTTAGCTGGGAGGTCCTAGGCAATGTCTTGTCCCCACTTATGGGGTGAATGCAAGGCTAGGAGTGGGGTGAAATGCTTTGTTCACTATAAAGCCTCACATTTAGGGGGAAAAGTGGGCACAATATGGTACCCAAGGCTTTGGGCAGGACTCTGCTCAGAAAGCATGGGCCCTGTGGAGAAAAGAAGAAAGGCCCAGGCCTCAGTTTTCTCACCTGTGAAATAGAGCAATGCCTTCTTGACTTTGGGAATGACAAGGCACCCCTTGCCTCTGCAGACGGTGGGGGAGTCCCTGCTCTACATGCTGGAGAAGTGTCTGGGCCCTGCCTTCACACCAGCCACACGGGCTGCCTGGAGCCAGCTCTACGGGGCTGTGGTACAGGCCATGAGTCAAGGCTGGGACAGAGAGTGAAAGGCGACCCCTGCCCGGTGGCCCCCATCTGTTGGCATCTGTCTGTTGGTCTGTATTCTTGTAGCCCAGGCTCACCCAGTCCTCCCTGCATCTTGGTCCTTGTCCCCTTGGCCATACTGGAGGAGGGCTGGGTCTCAGCTCCTACCCCACCCCCGACTGCAGGATGAGTGGCTTTTCCTTCAGGAAGGGGCTCCTGGACTCCCCCCCATCCGCAATACCCTCTTCCCTGACAGGCTTTTTTCCTCTCTGGTCCCCCTCCTGCACCACGCAGAGGAGCACAGTTTTGGTGGCAGAGGTGGCACAGGGCCGGGAAGGTACAGGGCTGAGAGAGTGGGGTTCTACTGTCTGTCCTCTCTTCTCAGGTGAGCCTGGGCCGAGCTGAGGGGTAAGACGGCTGAGCTTCAGGCACCTTCCATCTTGTCTGCCCAGGCCATTGGATGCTTTCCTACCCCAAGAGTGTTTGATTCTCACAAATAAAGAGAAAGAGCAGCTTTAGCCTTCATGGTGGAATCACAGGCAATTGAGCACTGCCAAGGAAGGGAGGTGACCTGGGTCTGCAATGGGGCCCATCTGGGTCTCAAGGGCTGCTCAGATGCCACCTGATAGAGTAATTTTTCTTTTGCAGTATTTCCCTTTCCCTCATTCAGCACTTCTGGTGGGAGCCCCCGCTAGCCAGCCAGGGTGGTAAAGGGTGACTTCATTGCAGAGAGATCTTCCTTTCTGCCTCAGCCTGCACCTACTGTGGGTCCACAGCTCCCCATATTAATACCTGCCATGTGCCTGAACTTAGGCAGATGTATAGGCTCCCCTATCGAAAGCAGCAGGAGAGGCCCTCTGCCCTCACCCCCAGCCGTCTGCACTTTCATCTTTTGCTCTGTGGTGTGGTTCTATAAACTAATGAAGAATAAACCTGTTGTGTGCCTCTCTGACCCTCTGGGACTGGTCTTTTCTTGGGTCTCAGCCTTTGCCAGAGAAAGCTGTAGGACAGTGGATCTCAGGGAAGGATGGGAGGGTGGGGTCAGGAGGGCCACGGCCAGATGGGGTGGAAAAGATGGGTGAGGCCTGGGAGGGCTGGAAGCCAGTGGCAGGGATGGAGCTAGGGGTCTGTGGCCAAAACTGGCTGGCAGGCCACCAAACCCAGCTCCTCTTCCTCATGGGCACACAGCTGGACTACCTTACCCAGTCTCCCTTGCAGTGGTAGGGCATGTGACTGATTTCTGGCCAGGGGACTGTGTGGATGTGTGTGTCACTTTCAGACCTGGCCTCACATGTTCCTCTGTGCTGTGTGCCTTCAGCTGGCTTGATGCAGACCTCACTGTGACCTTGACGGCCATGTGTTGAATGTGGCAGAGCCACAAGGTGAAAGGAGCCCTGTCCCTGAATTGCTGCTTGGAGGAGGGTGCCCGCTGATTAGGATCATCCATTTTGAATTTCAGATGAAAGAGACATAAACTTCTCTTGTATTTGTGCCATTATACATTTTGGGGTTGGTTAGTTACAACACACACCCGCACTAATCCACAGTTCAACCTAGTTCATTGGTTAGGGGTTTGAGAACCCATAGGCTGGTGGGCTAGAGAGAGAGCCTGGGTCATTTGGGGGGGTGGGTAGGGTTAAGAGTGGGCCTCAGCTGAGCAAGCTTGGGGTTAGTCGCCCACATGCTTCCAGCCTCTAGGCATGGGCCTGGAGCTGGGCTGTGAATGGCTGGAGGGCCAGCTGCCCTCACCCTTGGGCTTCTGTTTCTCAGCCAAGACAGGACACAGCTGGTGCCGGCAGGGCCTTGCTAGCTCCCAGCTGGGCCTCATTTTTGTGAGGCTCGGGTGGCCAGGACTGCAGGCTTTGTGACTGCATATACTGGGTCTGTAGCCCATTAGGAATGCTTTTCCCAGCATGGGACTGGAAGCATTTCCGTGTCTCCAGTGAGACATGGCCTCATTTGCTGTGTGACCTAATAATGGCTCAGACTCAGGCGTTCACACCTGGCCTAAGGCTCCCACGTGTTTGATGCCCACTCAGATGAGTGGGGTGACCTGGCTTTGGAAAGTCCAAACGCCTTCCTCTGACCCTTGTCTTGAGCCATCGTGAGTGTGGGTGCATTCACTTCTCTTGAAGGCCATGTGTGTGTGTGCGTGTGCGTGTGCGTGTGTGCGTGCACGTGTGTGTGTGCGTGTGCGCGTGCATGTGTGTGTGTTTTCGTGTGTGCGTGCACTTGTGTGTGCACGTGTGTGTGTGTGGGGGGGTGCATAGTTCCTACCCTCTTTCTCTTTTCAAGGTCCCTGCAGTCCTGTTTCTCGCTCCTGCCTGCCTCCTTATTCTATCAGCCCACGCCTCCCATCTAATACAAACAACAGCCCCTCCCTCTGCCCTCTCCAGCCACCACTCTGTTCCTTTACTTCCTTTGATAGCAAAACTCTTCAAAAGAGTAGTCTTTCCTGGCTGTTTTCATTTCCTCATGTCCCATGAGAGAATGGGGACCTATTTCAACCAGTCTTTGTTCCCACTTCTAATCTGCTATGGTCAAGGTCACTAACAAGCTCCATCTTGCCAAATTCAGGAGTCACATCTTTGTTCTCATCTTGCTCCTCTGCTCAGCAGCACTTGAGAGATTTATCACTCCTTCCTTTATTTTTGAATTTTCATTCTGGAAATATGAAACTAGTGAAATATGTTAGCATGCACTGAAATCAACAGACCAGTGCCCCTTACCCAGCATCAGCAGTGACCCCCCTCACCATCTCCTCCCACTGCTTTTTTCCTTTTTTTTTGTGCTGGAGAATTTTAAAATGAATCCAAGACTTCATGTTCTTTCACCTGTAAATTCTGCTGTATGAATTTCTAGCTGATATTTTGTTTTCACATATTAGTCCATGCCATCCATATGCCCAGAAAGATGAACAGGATCTCCTCCACATCGCCCGATATCCAGTTCAGATTCAAATTTCCCTAATGTCTTAAAGATGACTTTCCGCAACTGTTCTGTTCGGCTCAGGATCCAAACGAGGTCCACACTTTGCTTTTGGCTGTGTCTCTTAAGCCTTTCACTCTATACCGGTCCCTCTCCTTTTTTCCATGCCATTGATTTGAATGGGGGGGGTCACTGAAAGAGGGTCATTTGTCTAATGGCATGTCCAGCGTCATTGACTTGGCTGATGCTTCCTTGTGGCGTCTTTTAACTTCTCTGCCCCGTATTTACCATCAAGTGTGGTTACAACGGGGGGCTCCCTCCTTCCTTTTTGAGTCCCTCCTGGTGTACCTCCCTCCTGCCACTGCTCCTTTTCAGTCTGACTTGCTGATTCTCCTCCCCATCTCTCTCTCACTCTCTTTTTTCTTTTTCTCTTTTGGCGGCTGGCTGGTATGGGGATTCGAACCCTGGACCTTGGTGTTATCAGCACTACGCTCTAACCAACTGAACTCACCGGCCAGCCCCTCCGCATTGCTCTGTGTTGGCTCAGCCCTCACCTGTGTTGCTTCCATTTAGGTCTCAGCCAGTCCCGTACTTTTAATGCCACCCAGATGCTGATGACTGTGAAATTTACATCTCCAACCTAACTCCTGTATCCACCACATCAGCATTCCACATGGCATCTCAGACTTGACATGACCATAAGGGGACTCTTGGTCTGTCCCCTGGGCTTGCATCTCCCAGCCGTCTCCACTTGGTAAACCACTGCTTATCGAGTTGTTCAGGCTGAAGAACTGGGACTTATCCTTGCTTCGTGCTTTCTCTCAGACCCCAAGTCCACCCATCCATGAATCCTCTGTCTCTATTCCAAATTTAACTACTTCTCTCCTCATTCACCACCCCGTCCCGGTCTAACCTACCATATTCTCTCTCCTGGATGTCTCCAGCAGAGTCCCAACTGGGCGTTCTGCTTCCACTGGTCCCCATGCCAGCTACAGTGATCACTTCGTAAGTGAATTGGTGATTGCCATAAGGGATCGGTGGCTGCCAGGGGCTGGAGGGAATGGGGAGATATTGTTTAATGGGTACAGAGTCTCAGATTTAGAAGATGAAAGGAGTTACGGGGATGGCTGGTGGTGATAGTTGCACATTATGACTGTATTTAAACTACCGAACTGTTAAGTAACAATGGTTAAGATGATAAATTTTGTTATGTGCATTTTACCACAAAAACAAAAAACAAAAAACAAAAAACACGTGAGGGGATCATGTCATTCCCCTGCTCAGAATCTTCTGGTAGCTCCCCACGTCACTAGAGGGGTTCTAACCATGGCCTGCACAGCCCACAGCCCTCCCGGACCTCACCTCCCTCACTTGCTCTGCTCTGGCAGCTCTGGCCTCCTCACTGTTCCTGGGTCCTGCATTTGTTCCCGCAGACTCTGGTCTGGTCCCATGTCTCATCCTCCTAGAGCTTGTCCTGCACCCTCTGCTGCAAAACTGCCCCTGCCCATTTCCAGTCACCGCCCCCACCTTTAACCTGCTTTATTCTTTCTTCAAAGCACTTATCCCTGCCTATCCCATTATATAAATTTTTTTATTGCACTTATAATCTGTTGCACCAGAAATGGGCAGGCTGTCATGAAAGCCACTTTGGGCTCTGTGTTTGGAGGGGAGGGAGGAAGAGATTCCTCATACCCTTGCTGAAGGTGACAAGGTAGCAGAAGTGAGCCCTGAAGCCTGGTGCGTGGCTTTCTGGCTCAAATAGTAGTCATACTTATTGCAGAGTAAGCTAATTATGACAGAGGTTGTGCTGAGCTAGGTATTCATCACGATGAGCGGGAAGGCAAGTGTTTGTTGGGGCCTAACCTTTGCTTATCTAATAGGCAGCTGACATTTGAGCCCCCCTGGAGGCAGAGTGGAGGAGGGGAGGTTGAGCAGCCTGTGGATTTGTGGTTGTTTAGAGGTTGCGGGGCCACACCCTCCCTGAGAACAGAGGCTGAGGTCTCTGGGTGCATTGTGCCTGAGGCTAGGTTTGTTTTCTCTACCAGCTCACCCCTCCCTGCACACTGGAGTCACTTGGGGGAATTTGTAAAATAGAGGTGCCTGGGCCCCACCCCAGAAATTTTGATTTGTTCAGGGATGGGGCCTGAACACTGGGATTGTTTCAAACCTCTCAGGCGACTACTATTTGCAGCTGAGATGGAGAAACCCAGCAACTGAGGCTTGAGCGTCACTGCACTGCTGGTGTTCAAGGCGAGGGACTGTCAAGTGTTCAGAAAACAGCCTCAACTGTTCAGAAAACAGTTGAGAAAAGCTGGGGACTTATTTCCCATGCACCAGGCTCCCCACTCCTCCCAGGGCCTTCCACAGAGCAGACCTAGAAGCCTGGAGCTGGGCCAGCAAGGAGATTCCTCGGGATAGACCCGAGCTGCCTCCAGCACAGCTGCTTTGGGAAGGTTGCTGCAGCTGCCCAGGAGGTACCTCTTGCCTCCTAGCCATGGCCTCCAGGCAGAGTCCGTGGGGAGCCCCAGGCCCTCCTGCCTCCTCCCGAGCCCTGAGGTGCCTGGCGTGGCCCTCAGGCTGGTGCTCCAATCCCCTCTGGGGCACAGCTCAGTTGAGCCAGCATCCCGGGCCTCCCTGGCTCCCTCTAGCCCTGCCCCAGTCCCATCCCCAGACCTTCTAGGCCTCCAGGTCTTCCTGACCGACCCCATCCTGCCTGAGGACTTCCCCTCCTTCTTCATCTATATCTCTCTGTCTCTGCCTGAGCAAAGCCCCCTGAAGGGCCTGCTGAACCAAGGAATGGCCCAGAGCCTGCAATCCGCAGGACCTGAGGGTGCTGGCCCCCGGACGGAGACCCCGAGAGGCAGCTGTTGAAGGAGTTCTAGATCTGTTCCC